TAAAAGTATATAATTTATTACTGAAATTATTATTAAAGACAGCTAAACATAAAATTCATCATATAATTATCTCAATTTTGCAGGGGAGACAAGCATATCGTCACAAATTAAATCAACAATATGCATCAACCAAAAAATACAACTAGCTAAAGAATTAAGGGAATGGTAAGTAGAACAAACATACTTTCATATAACCCAATAATGAAATAGTATTATATTTTAATCTAATATGCAGGTTTCAATTGGAAGAAGCCACAAAAACGAAAGAATCTCCATCGACGCTTTTTATAAATGCAAAAGAAATTCAAATTAGTGATATTATGTACACATCACATAATTCGATATAGGTACAATTTTAGAAACCTATTCTTATTAATACGTTTATATCTAACTAAATTTTGTCAATATATAGACACACTATTGCACATTTAAGGCAAATATAACTACTATTTTAAATAGACACGAGCCATGATTCTATGCATGCAAAGGTTGTAACAAGAAGGTAGATAAAGATGTTAGTAAAGAGTGTCTGAATGATAAATATCGTAGAATCATTGATGACTCGGTACCAAGGTTAAGTAATATATCTTTTTTTATAACATGAACATATTAAAATACAATATTAACTATCTCTAGAAATCAACAATGAAAATTATAGGTTCGTAGTTAAGATTCTCATGGAAAATAGCACAGATAATGCAAGAGTAACACTATTTGATGCAGCAGAAACTCTTATTGGATGCACACCAGAAAACTTCATTACAAAAACGAAAGTGGTAATTCCTAACTCTATTCAAGTAATAATTTAGAAAATCAAAAAAAAATCATTTATATTAAAATAACATTTGTTCTCATTACAACAAAAAAATAATCAGAGTCTATATTTTCAAAATTTTGAGTTGAACATCAAAAAAACATTCAAATTCCTGGTGAAGTTAGATGAAAAGACAAAAGATGAACAAGGCGAAAGAAATATAATAGCACAAGAAATTCAACTCCAACCTAATATTACAATCGACGTAGATGATAAAGATGTTACTCTAGAATTGCTCAGGAAAAAGATAAACGTGGAGAAAGATTGATCTTGGTTCAATAAAAATATGAAACAAAAATAATAAAGGATAATTTTTTATCATAACTTAATTTTTGAGTAGAATAAGGAATTTTTATAAGGGATTTTCATGCAAAATTATTATTAGTTTTGTATGCTTATGTGATTGCTTTCGTCACATAAAAGTATACTATAGTTACAATTAATATGTACCTTTTTTCTTTTTATTGATTTAAGTCAATCAACTAATGTAGGTTGTGATCTTAT